TCATCCTGGACCAGTCCTTGACATTTTTCTTGGTGAATTGGGGCTGAAAATATTTCACAAGGCACTTCTCATGCCTAGTAACACTATCCCAAAGAAATAAACAGAGGTCCTATCTATACATGGATCTGAGACCCCACACCTTTCTTGCTCTATGCAAAATGTACTTTTATTGTGGACTTTTCAAGTTATACCAAGTGCAAATTTATTTGCTATCATGCTATGTCTCAGCATTTAAAATCTTTGCATTGCGCAAGTTTTTTGTCAACGTCTTTGTAGCCGCGGACTTCCAAGATTATTTTCATGCCTTTGAATACCCCTGTGCAGGAGTGGCCATCAGGGAAATAGAGGGATTGCGGTGTGCCATCAGCAAACTGAGCGTCGCCCATCTTTATCTTGATTTTTTTGGGAGATCCATTAGGCAGATAGACCGGCTTTTTGGTGATGGGATCATGCTCCATCACCTCAATTCCCCAATTATGGTTTGGGGGTGGTGTGTATTTAGGCATCCATCGTGCAGAGAGCGAGTCTTCAGGACGCTTCAAATGGGTTGGTGCGTTGTCATAAATGAAGACATCCTCAAATTCGGGCCAATATTTGGTGCAGATGTCAATTGCTTTCTGAGCTTGAGCAATGATCTCATCGCACGTGAAATAGCCGTCCTTGTTTTTTCCAGGCTTCATCACAACATCAGGAGAAAATCTCTTGAGTCAGTAGGTCAATGTAGCTCTAGTATTTATAATACCCTGGTAGTCTAGTCCCCCCCATGAGTCGCTCCGGTAGTTTACTGTGACATCTCAGTAGCCTGGGTAGCTCTTCCCTTGCACCTGATAGCCCTCGGTACACCCTCCTTCCACTTAGATAGGCACTGGTACACCTTGCTACCAGAGCTACTTGTGTGTACTGAATCTACTGATTTCTTTGTAGATGGCCACTAATTTTCTTGTTTCCAAATTAAATTAGGGGTATAAATGGCATTTCAACTATCTAATACAAGGGGGTCTACAATAACAGCCACACTAATAAAGAGGCTTAAAGCCAATATCCAAGAAAGTATGAATGGTGAAAATAATGGATAACATTACACATGAATGAAGGGACACCAGGGTATCCTCATTCAGGTTCGGGAGGGAGTGCTCAAGCGTTGTTGATGTTGTTGTCCGTCATCATCGTCTTTGCGTCGTCCATCGTCATGGTCATTTTCGTCGTGTTGTGCACTGTGGTTGTGGTCGTCCGTTATTGCCGCCACCTGTATCGTCGTCGTCCATCCATCTCCATCATCATGTAGCCATTGTCGTGTGTTGTCGTCATCGTCATCGGGTCACATTGCTCAATGTAGCAGAGGGCGAGGTGGTGACATGGCGGTGGTTATGATGGCCGCTAGGTGGGTTGTGGCTATTAGAAAGGGGAACAAGAGGAGCTGGTGGGGCTTACATTGTGATGTGCTCACCTGTCTACTGTGGACGGTGATGATGGCATATGTTGTCGCCATCTGGGATGACGTGGCACATCTGTGTCCTGTGTCGTAGTCGCATGGTAATTCCGTATTGTTGTTGAGTCATCGCTGTCCTGTGTTGGCGTTGCACCGTCGTTGTGTCGTGTCAGTCCAGACGACGAACAGTGAATTAGTTGTCATTCGTCATTTGGTTGCCACGTCGCTTCTAGCGACGTGGCACCTGAACATTGTATGACTAAAGGAATGGGGGGCAGGGGTTGTGTTAGCTCACCTGGGTTGGCACACAACGTTGTCACTGTCCTTGTTGTCGCGTTGATGTTGCAGGCACTCGTTTTCTTGCCAGAGCTGGTGATGTGGCATTGCCGCGTTGTTCTTGTGGTGTTGGGGCATGCCGGGCTGGTTGTGGGTGGTCAATGAGGGTTGTGGGTTGTGGTGGCCATTGGTGACAGTGGTGGTGCGGTGGTCATGAGTGGGCGTCATGGATGATCGATGATGGTAGTGGTTGAGGAGCTTGTGGGCAGGTTGTGGGATGCCCAAATCAAGCGTGGCCAAATGCCGACAATCAATGAATGAAATTTTGTCTACTAGAGGCTGACACTTAGCAGCGGCAGCAGGCACCTTGCTTGCTGACAAATACACTGCTTTGCACCAATACGATGCGACTTTTTTTTCGTAACAAAGGAAACAGTGTTCAAGAGCTATAGCGCTACATAGTTATGTATATAAACATTGGAGCTGGCGCTAAGAAAGAGACAACGATATCATGTTTTGAAAAGACCAGTTGTTTGCACCAGTTTGCTCGCTCGCGTGTGCCATATGCAAGAAAAGAGCCCCATGGCCTGTAGAAAGTTTGTTTGTTCATGCTTGCCCGCTCGCATGTGCCTTATGCAAGAAAAGACCCCCATGGCCCCTGGGTAGTTTGTTTGTACCTGTTTGGTATTTATGACCTTGGGAGACCTTGACAAGCAAGGTGAAGTCCTCACCTCAGATTTGGGCGTGGCTATGTGACAACAGCATCTAGTGAGCTCTGTTTAATTGCTTTAAACAGTTGTACGGTGCAGCTGCTAGATTGCTCTCTTCTCCACCCCTGAGATGTCTTGTGGAGCTGAGGGTTCGATTCACGGTGTTTGCACTATTTTTGACAATGTATATGACAGATGGTGAAATCCATGGAGTCTACTGAAATAGTCAAGCAACCTCAATACTTCGAGCAGAAACTACTTGGTCTACTGACACTGTAGGAACAACAATCAAGGTCTATGGGGAAATGAGTTGAAAATATTGGAAGCTATTGAGTTTATGAACAAATGAACTGAGTGTACCTGGACTATGGGTGCATAACCAGAGTTTATCAGCACTACTTGGAGCAATGGAAGCTACTGACTTTCTGAAGAAAACTACTGAGGGTACATATTCAATCAGAAAACTACATATACATTTTTTTTTCCTGATGAACGCGTGCTGATTCTTTCCCATTGGGAGATTGAAGCCACCCAAAATCCACGGAAACGAGATCAGCCACCATCAAAGAACAACCCTCCCCTTTCTTGTACGGCTTTGGTGTTGCATCTTTATGAAACCATCTTCTTCCCCCCCAATCATGCGCGTAAAAGATTACTTCGTCATGGTGCCATTTTATGACACGACGACCCAGCTGGGGCCCCTCCTCTGGTAAGTTTTCTGTTGACCAGATCTTTTCGCATCTGAGCAGGTCCTTCATTTTTGGCAAGAACCGATTATCCCTGTACCAAACCACATCCTCGCGCTCATGGCCGTCTGCGTATTGTCCCTTCTTCGGAGTGATCCAACGGAAGCCGAGAAGCTTCAAATATCTCTCAGCGGTGCGCAAAGAAATTTTCTTTGTGATTCCATGCTTGAGTTTAACCTCGGGGTGTGCTAAGAATTCCACAATCTTCCCAGCAGTGATATCCTTTCCAAGTTCTTGCAGATGGAGGTTGATGTCGGATGGAAGATCCTCATCCGCGAGCATCGTTTGATTCCAGTCACCATAGGGATTAATGGGGAGTATCTTCCGATTTTCAATAAATTGTCGCGTGAGTTTCCGCAGTTGACGTGCACAGTATGTACCCCGCCCGAGGGATATTGAAGCTTGCATTGATGACGCACACCATTTCTGGTATGTCGCCGATTTGGGGTTGGTGAAAAAGTTAAGGAGAGTTCTCATCCCCTCCATCCTTATCCTAACGAAGGGATTTATTTTAGGATCGACATGTCCGTTCCCTTTTTTTCGTGGTGGGTTCAGCTTGCTCTCCAAATCTTTTAATGTCTCCTTTGCTAGGTCTAGAGTTGGAGCTTCCCTCAGCTTCCCCTCCGGCAATGTCGCGTCAATACGGTTTTGATCACGCGAGGTCGCGTCGGTGGCTGCGTTGTTTCCCAATTCCGGCGTACTTATGTCAACACCCTCAAATTCCTCGACGTCGACGATCGCTTCATCGCCGTCTTTGTCAGGACCATCTTGGATACTCTCGGCATCACTTTCCGTGCCATCATCAAGCTCTTCTGCATGTGGGGGACCATTTCCCGTGTCAGCGCAGGGTAGGCCACCTGTGTCGGGCTCAGTCCCATGATTTGTTTCCTCGTGGAGTGCCTCGTTAATGATGCGGAATTTCTGATAGGTGTGCCCTGATGTGGGCTCCATTGTGTTGGGAGGAATACACCGAAACGAGCTCAAGAAGCTTGACATTGACTTCTGACAGTCAGGTGGTTCCTGAAGTTGGGTCGTCCGTCAAAAGCCTTCGCCGCATCGAAATTTCGGCCCAAAATTGACTGTAAAGGCTCCCTGAAGGTTACAGATGGCGCAGGGGTTGGTGTTCTCTGGTATTTGTCAGTTAGGACGCGTCTTTGAGTAACTGACCACCCACAGACAGGATCCACTCATTCTCCTTCGCAGTTTTGGCTTTTTTTTGAGGTCTGTCACCTCCCTGTAAGTTCTGTGCTCTTGACTGAATGTACTTGCTTCGTTTAGGCATGATTCCAGCCTACTGAGGAGGGTTTGCGCGTCTGCCGCCCTCAAATTGACGCGTCTATCTATATAATAAAGGCTTAAAATGGAAATGTCACGCTTTGCACGTGACGTTGGAAGGGTATGGCTGTCGTCTACCTTAGTGAGTAGCGTACGGGCCTTGAAAACTTGACAATCCATTCGGATTGCTAGAATGTTCCTGAGCGACGAATTGACACTAGCACCTCGAGCACATTCAGCCCTTACTGTTGAGAGCAGCAAATGCGGTAGTTCGATAGGTGGCAAACCAGGTCCACCGCTCAAGAGTCTGTCAGACAAATCCAGACTTCTGTGGAAGTTCGTCAGATGATACAGCATGCGCATTGAAGGGCACTCTACCGATTCAGAGAAATCTGGATCTTCAGCTCACGCAGCGCCGGCGCGCGCAAGATGGAGCTAGGTCAAAAAAGGACGAAGGCTCCACTGAAAGTGCGGCGAGGCACAGCGGCTCAAAAGGGGATGAGGTGGGGATAGTTGACAAGCAGTGAATGTGCCGGGAGGACTCGGCTAAACTGCCTTTCCTGGCGATATAAAAGCAGGCTCAATTCGAAGGTTGTAACCATCACCTCCCACTTTCTCGATTTCAAACATCTTATCGAATACCTGCAGATATGTCTTTTCCAAGTGGCCTGTATACTCTCAGAGCCTCTCCTGCTGCCGGATACGGTGGTTTGTATGCCACTGGAAACGGCGTTGACGACGTTGTGGCCGTCGCGCCACAGTCGCCACCGTTCATTGAGCGTCAGGTCGTGAGTATCATGCGTCTACATACGTTCCGGATGGTCAAACCTGCTAATGTCTTTTTGCCGATATTATTTAGTGGAAGATTGAAGCCGTCCATGGCAAGGAAAGCGCATACACCATCAGTCTCCACACCAATGGAAGTACTTTTGGAGGACATTGGTTCCCAAAGGACGGGGAACCGATTCCTGAGCACCCCGTCGTTACTTCGGAAAATTCTTACGAATGGTTCATTGCGTATAAGAATATTCCGGACGTTCCTCACATCATCACGTACGTGCCGGTGATATATCAACATTTCCTTGCAACGTGCCTCACCATCAACTCTTCCTCTTCAGCATTCGAGCACCTAATCCCCGTCTCGGCGTGGACTTTTATGCTGGAACTAATGATAAAGAACAAGTGAGCACCTTACACTCTCTGATGATTTGCTTTGGCTGATTTTTTGCTGCCACCAGGTTGTCATCAAACCCGTTCCCGTTATTCCAGATGCAGAGGCACCCTACTGGCAATTCAAGCCCCACCTACTAAGTTAATGAGCGCGAAGATCTGTTGGTGATTTCTAAAGGAATTATGAATTTAGCGAGATTTTGTGCAATGCTGCGCTTATGTGTACCATCAACTTCCAATGCAATGATGTTCCTAAGTGGATTGACTAATTTTTCGTGTGCTTCCTTTGGTTATCGACTGGTGATTCGGAGTTTTTGCCACATCAGTAAAATTACAAGTCCGGCTTTAGCCGCTTTCACCGCTTTTGAAAAGCGTGAAAGCATGAAAGCGTTTCCGCTTTTGGAAGCCCAGGCCATATTGTTTGAAAAGGGATTTCCGCTTTCAAAAGGGACAAAAGGGGTTGCAAGTGGTTCAAAAGGGGACCATGAAAGAGGTGCAGCTCATATATCCATAATTATGTTCATATTTCCATTTTATTAGCTAGCGAGGTCGCTATTTCGGTAGTTACCAAAGAATGACATTCACTCGGGCTCTGTGCCTCTTCAACTTTTGCACAGAAATTCCTGCCGCATCACCTAGAAGTGGCATTTTCTTGTATTTGTGTGCATGCGCCGCCAGTCGAGGAGAGAAAAGAAAGTTCAAGCGGCGTTTGAACTTCGGACAGGTCAATTCCGACCGCCGTTTGTGATTCTACTAACCTCGAACTTTGTGGCATTTTTCCTGGTTCGCACTCTTGCTTGCACGACCAACCACACTCTAGTAAACCGGTAATGTACTGGCTCTCAAATAAGCCCAACGCAGTGCGATCCGTGGAGTTGGCGCGGTGGCTTCTGCGTAGTATCCCACCTTGCATCCGCTCCGTAAGTTTAAATAAATAAATGTTCTTCCCTGAGGATCCAACACGGAAATCAGGCGAATTTCCAGAAACCTTACGCACATGAATATATAAGACGCGCGCCCTCCAAGCAGGCTCTTTTCCTTCCCCGGGCAGCACCATGGCACGCACGAAAATGCTAGCTCACAAGTCTACAGGCGGTAAGCGTTCAATTTGCCCCCTCAGAAACGCACCGACTAAGTGAACAAAAAAATACAGGAAAAGTACCCCGCTACCCACGCGACCTTCCTCCTATCGCAAGGAATAAATCTTCATCAAACAGCCAAAAAAACGCTCTGGGACCCACGGCCATCCGACTCCAAGTTTCTCATCGGGCGGGAGCTACTCGAGGCTACATCAACTCGGGTTCAAAACCCCTCAAGTCGGCTCCAAATTGAAGTCATCATTCCACCGCTCCAATATGAATGTACACCGATTTCGTCCCGGCGAAGTGGCGTTGCGCGAGATTAGACGATACACGAGCTCTACGGAGCTGTTAATCCGCAAATTACCGTTTCAGAGACTGGTTAGGGAGATCGCTGTCGAGTTTGTGAGTCTTTTTTCGTTCTTTCTTTCTTTTATAATTCTGACTTGCGGTTTGAAACTTGAAAACGTTGTAGGGAGACTTCCGATTTCAATCAGCCGCAATTGAAGCGCTGCAAGAATCCTCCGAGGCGTACTTGGTTCAATTATTTGAGGATATGAGGTTATGTGCGGTTCATGCGAAGAGGGTGACGGTTATGCCGAGGGATTTGATGCTTGCGAGGAGGTTGAGGGGGTAAGTGAGGTTGGTGAATATATTAATTTGGGTGAAGAAGGGGTTAAAATTTGAGAGAGATGATTTTTTTGTAATGCGTATATGTATAATTTACTGCGATGTCTGGACTCTGCGAGGTTGGAGGGCGACTTGATTTTTATAGAAGGAGTCGGCGTCAAATTTATGCCCGCCCTGGACATCATCATGAGTTGGAAAAATCGGCCAGTGATGAGAAAAATTTAAAATACATACATCATGATACAAATATTCCAACCCGCAAGTATCGGACTCCTCTACTCGTAGTGGTACGATTTCTCGCAGCGGCAACTGAAAGCCCGGGCTGCGCACTGGCGAACGTTCAACAGCTTGTTAACGTTAGCTTCAGGCTCTAGCGGAAGGATAATCTCGGGGCATGCGCATGCGCAGTGGTACGATAATTTGCGATAATAATGGAGGTGCTGCGCCGTCATCCTTGCCGTTAAGCTGTCAACTTCATCGTTTCGTAGCTGACCACCTGAGCGAAAAAAAGAGAAAAACATTGGTTTACGGGCGAATTCAATAACGTCCGTACTGTACGTGTTCCTAAATAGAAAATGCATAACTAAAAAAAAGTAAGGGTAAATATGTTGCAGTGAATAAATGTAAATGTAAAATGCTGTAGGATAGTCATGATATGGCGGGATCGAAGCTTGACGACGACGCGTCGGAATAAAGCACGGCTGAGTGGCGTGAATACGTGGGGGAATGACAATCGCAAGCCGCAGCCTCCAATCCAGTGTCCTGATACATCGTCCTCCCAAAAGAAAAATCGCCCATCTGGGCCAGGCCGCTCACGCACTAAGCACCCCCCTCAACTCCCTAACAATCCTCTTCGCCGCCACCTCCAACCTCTCCTCCCTCCCCTCCCTCCGTACCTCCACAATCGTCCTCTTCCTACCCCCCTCAGAACTCATCTGCTGTACCAACCCGACCTTGCGGATGTTAAATGACACGGAGAGCGTAGAAAAGGGGAGTGGTGTTATTTTTTTTGTTGGGGGTGTAGGGGGGAGGGGGAGGGGTTGGGGGGTCTTTTTGAAGGACCAGAAGAATGATGATGAGGGGCGGGGAGGGGTGGGTGGGGAGGGTGTTGTGGTGAGTGTGCTTGAGGAGGTCGAGGTTGAGGAGTAGGAGGAGGAAGAGGAAGAGGAGGAAGGGACGTATTGCCCCGGCGGAGCGAGTGTGATTACGCCTTCGCGTACCCCATAAGTCCTCACGAGGTCTTCTAACCTCGATCTCGGTTGGCTTAAGTCAAATAAATCTCTGAACATGTCTTCTCTTTCTAGATGGAGCTCTGAATCGTCTACGAAGACGTCTTCACGGACTTTGAGCGCTATGAAGCGGTCGAGGATGGGTGTTTCGCGTTGGATTGTTTGGAGGGGTGGTGTCGGTGTTGAGGTGGGCGGGGATGGGGACGTGCTTGGGAATGGGTCGGAGGAGTATGGTGTGCGTATGAGGGATTGGTAGAGGGGTAAATAGGTCGATCGGAGGACGTGCATGCATGCGATGTAGAATGCTCTGTTGACCAGACGCAGGGACCCCGCGAGCCAGAAGAGGGTTTTGCGTTGTCTTTCTAGTTTTCCTTGGTCTACACCTGGTGATTGGGGGAAGGAGGAGTAGACGATTTGAAGGAGGATGTGTGGTGGGAAAGAGGTGAGTGTGGGTTTGGGTGGGGGGAGTGCTGTTGGTGAGAAGGGAGGAGGAGGGTTTAGGGTGAGTGTTGAGGAGAGGTAGGGTGGGGGAGGGGGGAACATGATGACTTTTTCGTCTATTATCATTGTGGGTGGGGTATTTGAGAGATGAGTCGAGTATTTGAGAGATGGTTATTTTAAGACGGGGAAGGGCTGCGGAAGAAGCGCAGTGACAGTGATTGCGGTAATTTGAAACGACGACGATGTATGGCTGCAAGGGTACAGTTAGTTGTTGATGCGGATAATAGGCTGCAGCGACGGTAGTTAGTTATAGTGACCTGTGGAAGTTGAGTGGAGTACCAGGAGGAGAGCGTATATCTTGTGGCGATGATAAGTCGGCACCGCAATCGATTCTAATCATTATTCTCAATAACAACTTTCCTTCTTCCAACGTCACTTCCTACCTATAAAAACCTGGTATATCATCTCACTCCCTCCTAAACTCGCGCCTCCCCTTCGTCGCTAGTCGCCCATTTCCACTTCCATCAGCCAAAGTGGCATAACCCCCTGTCCGGGGTCCCGGCACGGCACAGAGACCCCGAAGCTACTCCTGCAGGTCAAACCACGACCACCATCATCACCCCCGCAACACACCCTACCTTTGTTATCCCCCCTGTCCCTCACTTCCCTCTCCATACATAATAATCAACTCCTCGTCCATGGGAAAGAGCCACAAGGCCTCAAAGAACCATCCACAACGTGTGTGACTCCTCTTTGTTTTACGACATTTATAAAAATTTTCTTTATCGGTCCCGTGCATGGTTTGCTGATTGGTAATTTCCAGTTCGATCACGGACTACGAGGTCAAGTAAAGGTCGCGTGAGTTTCCCTCCTCTTTGTCCCTCTTCTCCTTCCGTTGTCTTACACACCGCCATACTTAGCTACTGTCAGACCCAGCAGAGAACAACCAGCTGCTAACTGAACAACTCCGTTCACTCGGTCTATACGCCGCACCCACCCTCGGCGATGGAAATTGTCTCTTCCGAGCACTCTCAGATCAACTCTATGGGTCACCTTCGAAACACCATCAACTTCGTGCAGCCATCTGCGATTGGATAGAATCACACAAGACGCGTTATGCCCCGTTTGTGGAGGATGAGAGGGGGTTGGATGTTCATTTACGGTGTATGAGGGAGAATGGTATGCATCCTTTTTTTTCATTTTCTAGTGGACACTGATAGATATGTAAAATGGCAGCCACGTATGGAGGACACATGGAACTCTCAGCATTCGCCCACATGACGAAACGCAACGTAAAGGTCGTACAGCCCGGCCTCGTCTATGTCATCGAATGGGCGTCAGGCACCGACCCATCCTCGCCTACTTTCCCGTCCTCTCCAACAACATCAGACCGTAAACTTCGGAGCGATGACAGGCGCGCGTCAACGTCCTCTTCTCATAGCTTTGACGACGAAGATGGCGAGAGAAGTACGGTATACGTTGCGTGAGCCTTTCCCCCCTTTTTCCCTTCTTTCTCCCCACTGACCTTTCTTTGATATTGATATAGTTACCACGACTGGGAACATTTCTCCTCAATCCGCAACCTCAAAGGACCCCACTCAGGTCTCCCAAACGTATCCGAAACGCCCGCCGTACCCCTCCCCATCACCGCCCCACTGACACCGAAGAAAGCCCGCGAACAAGAGAGGAAGGAAAAGGAGAAGGAACGAAAGACGCAAAAGGTTAAATTGAAGTTGAAAGTCTCGGCACCGTCGCCTGTCAAGGGTCCCGTGTCGGCTGTTATGCGGGATGTAGAGGGTGATGATGACGATGACGATGATCCGGTGGAGTGGGCAGCAGATGCAGAAGACCCGACGCAGGTCCCCCTCCCTTGTTCTCGTGGTATCTCGTGTGAGCGTGTGCCATCGCGTCCTCCTCTTCCTCAATCGGCTTCGTCGTCTGCACCCAATTCTACCGCCTCCACCTCCTCCTCATCCTCCGCTTCTTCCTCCGCACCTCAAACACAATCACAGCTCCAACTACAACCACCCCAACGAACCACGCGATCCCCGAAACGCTCATTCGACGAGTCGAGTGCTAGTGCTAGCGCTAGCGATACCGACGACCGACACCTCGTTGAAAGAGGGAGGGATAAGCGGACGAGGAGGAATACTGGGGCGGGGTGTGATGTTCTCATGGCTTCACCACCAACCCCACACCCAAACCCACCAGAGGATGCGGATACACCGGAACTTTCCGCCCCTGGGTCGCCTTCGCCTTCGTCTAGTGAGGCCTCGTCTCTGTCGAGGTGTTCGAGTGCTTTTGGGTCTCCACCGCCGCCGCCGGCTGCTGTTGACGTTCTTCCGATACCGTCGAAGAAATCCAAGTCACGGGCTTTACATCCCCATCCCATGACGGCGTACGAAAGGCCTTTAACGAGGAGACAGCGTAAAGCGTTGGGGTTACCTAAACTCCGGCCTGGCCTTGGCTCTTCTCCTTCCCCTGGGGCGATTGAGAGAACGGGGAGTGCGGGGACGATTGTTATTCCTGGGGGGAAGTTTAAGCGGGGTGGAGACGGGGGGGTGAAGGTGAAGGTTGAGGAAGGGGAAGAGGCGGAGTGGAGGAGGAATGGGACGGGGAGGGTTGATGTTAGGGGGTTTAGGGAGCTGAAGATTTGATGATGGATGAGGACGTTTTGCTTGATGATGCCTGCCGTCCGCTCCCGTCTTGGTCGCTCCCCGCCCTTGTTGGCGTACGGTGCTTGGGCTCGTCGCCAGTGGACTTAGCGCCACGTCAGGCTGCGTTGGTTGCCCACCCGCGTCGTGGCATAGACGCATGCCTACCGACCGACCTGTATTTGTACCCCCTCCTCTGCGATAACTTCCTTCCTTCCGATTCTGATAACGACCCCTCACGACTCTTTTCCATCCTCATTTCTCGCTCTCGTTTTTGCATCTACAACAACAAAGCCCCACTCACGCATCATTTATTCTGTGCATCTCCTTTCATCTCGTATAATAGACAATCCCATACAGCTGCTGCATTGACGATTTTTTTCTTTTTTTTTTTTCCTGATTGATAACGTGTCGGACAAGAGGGTTGCACCCCCCGAAATCCCAACATTTGACTCTCGAGTATTGTAGATACATTTTCATTTTGATACGAACAAGATAACAACTCAAGTACTCAACTCTCATCAGCATTTTCGTGGTATATATAGTTTGTGGTTTACAGATAGCATTGCATTGCATTTTCTCTTTTTTTTTTTTTTTTTTTTCATTTGAAGGATGAATTTGAATTTATCCTTCAGAGGATTTCAAGAAAAATGTTGAAAAAACTCGGGATGGGCACTGCCTTGAGGCCTGTGATTGGGTTTTCCAAAAGAATTCGCGTTCCTGAGATACCCATTTATTTGTCCGCAACTGAACAGCATGTAGCCTAAAAATAACTCAAATGTGCCTGGTACCAGCGCTCAACGTTCAACGTTCAACGGGTGAACGCCTCAAGGCCAGGCAGCACTTATATATATAAGCATGACCCACTGGCAGCCGTTTCACGGCAATGATGTTCTTTCCACTTGTCATCCCATTATTTAGCATTCTCCACGTATACGCCTATCTCAACGATACCTCCAACGCGGACCTCACATGGAGTGGAAACAGCGCACATCCCCTCAGCTCCAACTCCAGTCAATGGTGCTATTTCCCAGTCGCCAACGTCACCAAGAACACGGCTTGTATTGGAACTTCGACTTCTTCCACCAGCAGCTATCAGACACTCATCTACACTCATCTAAATCTGCCCCAGGGATGGTCCATTGCCTACTACGCGCTCAACAACGTCACACTTTTGGGTGACTTCAAATACCCCGTGCCTGCAGGAGGTGCTCGTATGTGCCTTTCAGGTCAGGCATTGGACAAGAGCTATCAGACGTATTGCCAGGTTATATATTATAACAACGACATCGTTGATAATGCGTCCGACTGGTGCGTCGTCGCGCTCGGGCAGTCTTACGTTTCCGACGGTTGCTACACCGCCACGCCAGCCTCTGGCACTGTCAGTGCTGCGACAGTGCCAGCAACAACCGTTACAGCAGCCCAGCCCGCAGCAACCTCAGGTCAGGGTAAGGCCGAGCTGTTGCAGGAGTGCACCCCCGGGTGTGGCAAGAGTCAGTGCACTTTCAGTAACCTCGTAAGTGCATTCTTTGGTAAAAGGCAACTTGACGACCTGATCTCTCCCAGTCGCATGTTGACCCTGTAACTTACCCCGTCATTGTGGGGACTCCAGTTGAGAACTGTGACCCAAAGAGCAATACGACCATCTCGAGTGGTATTGGAGGATCAGTCCAGATCACAGACACCTGGAGCGTCACCACGTCATTGGGGGTGAGCTTCGAAGGGTTGGACTTGAAGGCCGAAGCCTCGTTTTCCAGTTCAAAGGCGATAACGTTCTCGCAGACCGTCACGATACAAATCCCACCTGGGCAAATGGTTTACTATATTCTTTTATATTCTCATCGCAATATCTGAACTAGTGGTCCTTTTAGGGCGCAATGGTCGCAAACGTGCTATATAATCAGACGAACGGGAACATGAAAATCGGGTCCAAGTGCGTTCTACCCGAGAATTGAGAACGTTGAAAACCTAATATTGCCACAGTGCACTCTTTCCTATCACATCGAACCAACCTCTGGAGGTCGTCTCCTACGGGCAGCAAATAACCCTATGTGGCAACCAGTTTGCTGCTACTAATTCGAGCCCGATGGCCTGTACTCTCAGTGCTGCCGTTTCGCTGAGGGAGAATTCTTTGATGACATTCTTTGGCTTGTTGATTCCCATATTTGCTTGGATGGTGTAGTACTTATAGTCAAGAACACCTCGTCGAATATCAGAAGTAAATTGTTGCCTGCAGAAATATTCTTTCTTTTTATTCGAATAATAAAAAGCCCAATTATTACTTTCCGCGGCATGCCGTCACGTCTTTGCATCTTTGGTGTCTTTGCATCTTTGGTGTCTTTGCATCTTTGGTGTCTTTGCATCTACACCAAAGACACCCAAAGATGGACCTACTGTTTTGCCGATGGGGGATTGGCCCGAACCTGACCGGACATTGTAGAAAAATATAAGGTGGAGAATCGGGGTGGCCGAAGTGTTCTGTCAGCGAAAAATGAATGTCCAATCGCGTCGAATATTGTATGCCTTGTGAGGAATATGGTACTACGTATGACTACAGACGATAACTATGGGCGATCGCGAACTTGTGAAGCCGTCAAAGAGCACCCTATTGGCAGAAAGATATTCCTGGTATATACATCACAAACTCTCCAGGTAGGATGTTTGCGAAGCACGCAGAAATAAACGTAAGATAGGCAATTTCTACACATACCAGTGAAATTTCCTGACCTATTCATGGCGAGTCTCAATAAGTACGTTTTCAAGGCCGAGCTCTTCGCAACGTGCAACCACGGAAGGGAGCGATTGATTTTCTGCGCAGTGCCCATGTTTCCATGTTTCTTGCTGTCCTGGCGGCTGCTGGTCTCCCCAACATTGACGAAGGCGGTACTCTCTAACCAAGTGTGCGACCTTGGCCGCTTGTGTTTGGATGCGGGGAGCAGAAACACCGAAGTGAGTAGGAATAAGATGAGTAAAGTTGGTGGCTCTCGCGTAAGAGAATGTTGTTGGCGCTTGCTCCATATTTCCCCCATGTGCAGAAATAACTTTCTGCCGAAAAAAATCTAGCACAGTTATAGGATCTGTGTGATGAGATTTTTTTTTTTGCGAGAATATTTCAGCACGGATGGAGTCGGCGTGCGGGGGGAAATTGGGAGGAAGCGCCAACAAGCCTGCAGCTGATAGAGCCATTGGATCAACTCGAAACGGGTCAATTTCTATTAAACCTCGGCGGCTTTGAGCTTTTGGTTGGGAGTAAAGCTGCATGGAGTAATGGTTTATGGCGCTGGGGTGATACGACCATGCACCGGAGTTGGCTGTCGACGTCATGTCCTGTCGGTGGTCTAGAAGTGGGTTTGGGTGATGAAAAAGAGAATATGGAGCCATGGGCTCCGTCGATTGGTGGATTGGCGTGGCCGGTGGATCAGATTGTCGATGGGGACATAAACCTACTGGGGGGTGTATTAACCAATTAGTGACTCTAAATCGGTGATGCTGACAACCCCCACGACTAGAACGTACCCGGACAGTGGTAGCAGTTCACATATACGAATGCCATACCCAATTGTCAGACAACAAAATGACGGGTTTGAAGAGTAGTGATAGATCGATAAGGCATGGGAGTTGGACAGCCTGCTTCCCAGGCTCTGCCTCGAGGTTGTAGGAAGTCCATCCTGAGGAGATAGGATGGGAAGTTATCATCCAACATTTTTCCGCTCCACCTTATTTCCAACAACGTCTTCTAGCTCACGGAGTGGGAGATAGGTATGGGATAATAAAGGGATGACCGAACTTTATCCTGAGAGTCCAGACGTCATTTCGGACGAGCTTTTGACTCTACGATGAAGTTTGCGATGATTGAATACAGCGTTGACTCGGAGCTCATCATCTGACTCCGCTTCCAATGGTCCACGTTATTGGTGCGTTTTGGGGTGGCCAGGAGGTGGTGTTGCCATGGCTAAGCTGTTGAGGCGGCTCTAGCTCAGGAGCCGAGCTAATTTCTCCCAGAATGTCGGACCACCTGACTTTCAAGATGACTTGTTGACTTGCACCTTGTGAAAAATACTTTGCACTGCCACTTTCGAGTCCCCTTCGCTCCCAAACGCCATTGAGAATCGCACAGGTCTCTTCTAATGACCCCCAATGAAGCTGCGAGAACAACGCAAGTACCTAGGCACGCCAAAAAATAGCCGCTCTTCCACTCCGCTTGCCCAATTTTAACGATGTCGTTTTCCGCGTTCGTCTCAAAACCCTCCCTTCAACTCTAGGCTTCAACGCTCCTGCACGCACCAGGTGATTGGTCCCGGAAGCGCTCTTTTGCTACCAAGGAATGCTCTGGAGAGATCTACGGGAAGGCATTGACGACACAGCGAGGCTTTACTGACGAACATCTGCGAACCGACGGCTAGGCTGACCGCCTTACGCAGGCACTCAAATACCCAACCACTGCCTATCCTTGACCCAGGTCATCACGAAAACTTCATGACGGACAACTCCTCGCATTATGACCACACTCAAGTTGACTTCGCCAGTGAAACAATCCTCGGGTGCTGGAGATGCTTAGCCGCAACTGCAACTGTATGTCCTCTTCATATCTGAAATCCAAAGACTCCGTTTTGCGAGGCCCTTGAGCCTTACTGATTTTGAAGGCGTACTAATTTGCTATTGACATTTCTTAGGCTCAACTTCCATCATTTGAACCAAAGACGATCACGAACAGTGAGAATTCTCTGTTGCTGCGGCGTTCTATTAAAGAGTGCCAAAGTTCAAGATGCTGACGATCCTCCTAGTTGGTGTTAAGTACCTGGTCTTCTTCACTGTACTACTTTCAAAGGCCGTCGGCCATCAATGAAGGAGCTTCGACGATATCCTCTTCGAAATCAAGAGTACTACACATACACCGCCTGCAAAACAATAAGCTATCGACATTAAACTCAGACACTCTTTGGGACAGGTCCCTCAAGAACAACCTCGTTCAATACTTTCACCCTTCGTCGGTCTGTGAACCCTTTGATACCGTGGGGTGGTGGTGGGAGACTCTCGTCTTGTTCAATTCTGTTTTCAACAAAGGTATAGGTATCGTCAGAACCCACTGAGTTTAGACAGGAAGACCGTGACATACACAACGTTGATGGATGCAGTCAACCAGTGTTCAACAGGCGCACCTTGAATAATAATGGCTTGCGCAATGGTGGCGGTGAAGAAGACCCCGACAGAGCCAGCCTGGTTGTTATATTTATGACCACCTGAACAGTTGTCGTGATGAGGAGAAAACGACGCACATTCTCGTGGCTCTTGGGATTAGCGGGCACCTCGACGGCTCCCGTGAAAGAGATGGAGGCGGTAGTTTCGTCGAGCTTCTCGGCGCCCAACAAAGTCGTAAACTCGGCGCGAGTGATGTTGCGTCCGTTGACGGTGATAACAGCATCCTTGAACAGGAACGCGTCAAGGGATGCGTTAAGGGCGCTGGCTGACTTGGCCTGGATAATTGCAGTGAGATGGTTCTTGGTCCATCGAGAAAGGCTGGGGAGAACGATGGCATCAGACATTGTGTAGGGGAATGTTAAGTTCTAGAAATCCGAAGGAGGTACCCTTTTTGTAGGTGAGGAACGCCTTCAAGTTGCTTTTTTGTATGTATGTCAAATTGTCGCAAGGTCGGTTCACGGCACGACCTATGTGTATCTCGCCGCCCAAGTGTTCACAAGACCCAGCGCTGGTAGCTAAGTTCTCATTTATTTTTAGAATCTCTACATTCGTACGAACTTTTCGCAATCTTGACAACATACACATTATTTGACATGTTCCTTTGAGTGGTGAATGGTGGTGTCATGCTGGCGTTGCATTCCACACCAGTTCCACACTTGCCGCTGGGAGAAACTACAACCCAGATTGTATCGGCCGTGGAATTTCTATGCTACTTTCTATGGCTTGCGGAATCACAAGAGCTGAATTGCAGCGCCAATGCTGCGCCCGTCAGAATTTCATAATTGGGTCCAGAATCTTTGCACTACTTTTGCACTACTATTGAGTCTGTTAGGTGCCTGAATGTTATGGCGTGGGGCGCGGCGATGCCAAATGCGTATGTTCTCGAAGCTTTTTGCCCAAAGAAAGACCGTGTATCTACACAATTGATTGAGAAGCCAGAGCTCCTGACGGAGGTCTTGTATATTAGAACGAGCCACTTCTGAGAGGTTCACGAACAGAATGTTGACCATTAGGCTTCATGGATCATTCTCGACACCCTTCCAGATTTATATACCTCCTCACTCACTCATATTTTGGGACCGAAATTCTTTGACAGACATCAAGATCGAAATGGTACAGAATTCAAACATATCTTTGCACCGAAGTAGATAGCGTGCCGTAAAACCTATAACGTGCTATCCACAACTCCAGAATTTACGAAATTTTCTTGATTTGCCAGTATGGCCTGTCCAGGAATGGAGGCAAAAGAACCGGGGAGGACTTGATAACAACCCAAAATTGAAGAGTTAGATTCGAAAGAGGTCAAAAGAAGGCAAAGGTCATGAACATCATTCTTGTCGTTAGTCCCAACAAATCACGTCAGACGACCATCACGCTTAGCGACTGGTTTAATGCTAGATATAAATGATGATGAGATGGAATTGTTTGAAATGGCAATAAATTAGAATCAACATACAAGTATGTGTCGGGAATGCCCTTGTTTGCCAGATAAATTTGCCATTCAACATTCTCAAGGATAGTGATAATGGGGCCACGCGGAATATCTAAGTTGTTGTCCTCGAGGGACCAACCTCCACCAAAGCCAGGTTTATGCTTGTGGAACTGGAAGATTGTATATATGTCTTTCTTGCCTGGAACAGGGGTAATGGATAACTTCCCATAAGGTTTAGAAACCTAGATTATTTTTCTAAACTGATGTGCCACCATGCCGTTTGCCAAATGGGTCACAATCTGTCAAAGTTGAACTCCGCTTGTCATCGAACACCCTCTTCTAGATTTTAATCTAGACGAGGCCTCCCCCCCCTTCTTCTAGTTCTAAATCGCTTGCATAAACCCTTTTTTCATTGTCCGACAATCAATCCCTGAGCATCCTGTCAAAATCAAGCAAGGCATCAAGATGCACCAACCTATGTAGCCGGTCTCCTGAAGAACTATCCACTACATCTTTCTTGTATTTCCTGAGAAACAATTTGGAGTCACATCAGGAAAATGGTTCTGGGCTGTAGTTTGGCCATATTTACATAGTCTCCATAGGCTTGGTAGGTCAACATAGGTTAACCATTACCTCTGTAGACTATGGTAGGTACCAAAGATAATCTGAGCCTACAGTAGACTATCCAAATAAATCTCACCTCATCAAAAAACTGGAATGATGAAGACATGATATCACAGTCAATGGAGTATGAGGGAAATCATGATCATAATACCAGTATATATGATACAAGCTACCCTGGGCCACAATTTATTAGACACATCTTCCCACTGTTTGCAGTGGAGGTGAATAGTTTTTCAAAAAGTTTTCTCAGCATGAGTGGTATGTATAGTGCAAACAGCTGAGAATTATTGTAAAGGCTTGAATAGACTAACTGTAAGATTGCATGTGAGATGGTTGATCTTTTGTACAGGCCCCTCTGTAAGACTCTGAGTTCAATTCCCCTAAGATGTAATATTTATTCACTGAGCTCCCCCAACCCATGTTGTCAAAGTTTCAAGGCTGCTTCCGAAATTGATCGAGTTTAAACTATGTTTACTCAAGTCCAATGAACACTGTCCAAAGTTTGAGTTACACGCGCACAACACTGTTGTCACATTCGCCAACGCACGACTACTGAGCCGCCGCTCACTCGCCCGCTGGCAAACTTCACAATCCACGCTTGGATTTACGCGCTGCGCTTCACGCTTGAACACAGTTTATTTTTAAACTCGCACCGCTAGTTGAGGAGTGAGATGAAACGCCCCCTTTCCATGAGGCTCTCGTTTCAACTCTCACTCCCTCAACTAGGTGCGATTTTCTCATTTTATTGTAAGGCTCTCGTTACAACAGCTCACTCCCACTTTATAGTTGAAGCTGTCTCTATTTTTCGTCAATAAAATACTGCGTATTCATCGTACCTCAGTTCAACTCCTATGAGTGAAGGTCATGCCATATACTTTGCATCTGCAGAACCTGGACATGAGTCCTCCGACGCTAATAACGCGGATGGAGGGAGGCAAGGCTCTTCTGCCACTTTCGACTCGAATCCAGGGTTACCTAGAGGAGAACATGCCTCACAGGACCCAGGGAACCCCAACGTTACTCAACAGACTGCAGATGGAGACACCAACATTATCTCTATGGGAACGCCTGAGAACGGACAACAACAAACAAGTCCAGAGCGCAATGAATCAAACACAGGAGACCTACGGAACGACGACTCGCCTTTCGAGCAAGAATCCATCAACCTCATGGACGACATCGTTGAAAGTTTTCAAAGAAAGGAGACTACGAAACTCAAAGCCTTATCAACGATTATCGGTATCCTCGACTCCAACACTACAAAGCCAGAGAAGACAAAAGATGCTGCAGTCGAGTCCTATTCACACACCCTCAACGAAGTCGAAGCTCTCGCTGCTTCAGCGATTAGGAGAGGACAACAAGTTCAGCAGGGACTGCAACCCCCAGGTACACTGAACACCCAAACTGCTCATGCTAGAGATCAACGACGCGACGCGGAAATCGACGAGCTCATCTCCCACATCAGTGGTGAATCCAGAAAGTCTAAAAGACCCCTTTCTGGCGACTTCTTCGACACCCATGACCACGCCCATGACTCCGACACCGATGTTGAACAGTCTAACAGGAAGCGAAGAGTCTTTGAATCTCAAATGCCATGGTTTTCTCAAGAAGAAGAGGAAAGGCGAACTGGAAGCAAAGAATGTGAGGAATCACGCAGAATCTTTGCCTTATTCGCCAGAGATCCCAAAGCGATCAAACAATGGATCCAGAACTCCAGGACTGCACCCCTCGGATTCCCAACCTCGGAATGGGACAATATTGTCAGAGGACAGGCGGTCAACCTTGACGCCGTGCTCTCATCATTGCACCATATATCCGCTCCTAAGGAGAACATTGGATGTGTGGGATCTACTGAGATCTCCCTTGGACGATCTGAACCTTCAAAAAGGGTCCAAACGAGTGGCGAATGGACCAGCGCCTGGAAAGCGACCATCAAAGCGATTAAATTCGCTTTCCCTCACAGAGAGCACAAACTCCGAGAATATGGCGAGTACATCGAAGGCCATTTCTCAGCCAGGGTTCAATCCTCGCATCGAAAAATCATCCTGTACGATATCGCTATCAGAAACGAAGTCGGGGGAGGACAAAACGCTCTGCTCACCGATGCTCACCGTTTCTCAAGACTTTTCTCAGCCATCGTCATGCCGGATGGAGTCGAATCAGACAGCTCTCGCCTCTCGTCTAACCGACTCACATCCAGGACAGGCAACAAGACCGAGCTCTGCAACCAATTCAATTCTATCAATGGATGCAGAAATTCTGCTGAAGACTGTCGCTTCCGACATGCCTGCAAGAAATGCAAGCGCACCGGTCACGGAAAGGAAAATTGCGATTTTAAAGAAGGATCTAGCTCAAAACCTTCAACCTAGATACCTTTGTCATAATGTTTGGGAAAGTGATGATTATTTCTCAAAGTCATCAGCTGACTGGTCGGAAACTGCAGCACCCTTGCCACCCATCCCCAAATCAGAGCTATCAAATCCTATTGTTACCAAGACCATCAATGAAAACCCGGAGCTGTTTGACATAGTGACTCCCATCTACGTCGACCACTTTGAGCAACTCCTTGAAACACACCCCAATCAACCATTTGTAGCCTCAGTGTGCCTTGGTCTCCGGGAGGGTTTCTGGCCATGGGCTGATACCCACCGCGGAGAGTATCCAGACACATTGGACCTTTCATACCCTCCACCAGACGATGTGAAGGAGGCGCAATTTCTACGTGACCAATGCGATCACGAAATATTTAAGGGACGTTTCTCTGAGTCTTTTGGAGAATGTCTCTTACCAGGCATGTATTGTATGCCCATATTCGCCATTCCCAAACCTCACTCCACGGATTTGCGAATGGTCACACATCAGAGCGCTGGGAAGTATTCATTAAATAGCATGATCCCCAGAGACGACATTGCAGGGTACCCACTGGACAACCTACGCCATCTTGGGGGAATTTCTCTTGTCGATGTACCGTTGCGACCCCGAATCACCTCGCATACTATTCAAATCGGATGTTGCCGAAGCCTACAGACTTCTACCAGTACACCCCTACTGGCAGATAAAGCAAATCAATTGTATCGACAACCTTCTACATGTTGACAGGAACTGCGCTTTTGGTGGACGTGGTTCAGGATGCAACTGGATTGCCTTTATGTCCCTGGTGTCATGGATTGCAAAGAAAAAGCGGGATATTGAATTTTTAGGCACCTACTCCGATGACTCCTTTGGACCTCAGCGCGCCTCCAACGTCACTTGGTACCAACCATACCGAAAATTCATGCCCACGAATCAAGTGAAAATCTTACGCCTTTGGGACGAAATTAACCTACCCCACAAGGAGAAGAAACAAGTCTATGGATCAATCCTCACCATCATCGGAATAGAGGTCGACGCAAATGCACTCACCATGTCCATGCCCCCGGACTCCTTGAAAGACTTGATCAATGCAATAACTGACTTCATCACCAACCGTCGTCGTTTTTCGTTGAGGGAATGGCAACGATTGGCTGGTTGGATGAACTGGAGCTTCAACGTCTTCCCCCTGCTCAGACCTGCGCTTAACAACTTCTATGCAAAAATAAGCAGCAAAAATGCCCCTGACAGGTGTGTGAGGATCAACAATGCTGTACACGCCGACTTGTCCTGGGCGATTAGCCACCTTGAAAGAGACTCAGGTATTCACCTGATCCAACAAATTCGCTGGGATGCCTCGTCTGCCAATTTCACGTTATACTGTGACGCCTGTCTAGAAGGCATGGGATTTTGGTGGCCTGACAAATGCGTCGGCTTCTACTCTCCTGTACCCGATGGACTTGACAAAGAACAGATCTTTTATTTCGAAGCACTATGTGTACTTGCTGCACTCAACCATGTTGTTGAATCCCAACATCCGCCCCCCTCATCGCGCATATTGCTTTACACCGATAACCACAACACCGTCGCAATTTTCAACACTTTGCGGTGCCTGCCTCACTACAACAACATTTTAATCAATGCTGCCGATGCCTTAATCAACAGCAGCCTTCACCTCCGAGTGCTTCACATCGCAGGTGAACTCAACTATGTCGCTGACGCAATCTCATGAAACAATTTCAACTTGGCAAGACGGTATGTGCCTGGTATTACCATAATGCCGTTCACACCCCCTCGACTGATGCTGGGGGCAACAAAAAAATGATCACATCAAACATCAGGTCTAGACAACCCCTCAGGGAAGTCTGGACACGAGAGCGCCTTGTCCATGAATGCGCTATTGCTCTCGGACAAGCCGTGGACAACTCGACTTGGAAAAACTACGGTTCAGCCCTCAACTCATACCTAAATTTCGTAAAAATGCATGACTACCCTCTAGACCCCACCCCCGATACCTTGAGCCTTTTCACCGTATACATGTGTCACCACATCAAGCCCGATTCGGTGGGAACATACCTGTCAGGTATATGCCATCAGTTGGAACCATACTTCCCTGACATTCGCTCTTCACGCAACTCTGCCCTGGTACATCGTACATTGCAGGGTTGCAAAAGGATGCAAGCTGTCCCTACCTCACGCAAGCGTGCCTTGACAATTGAAGACCTTGAAACTGTCGTCGACAAACTCTCCTCTTCCACTGACTATGACGACATTCTTTTCCTCGCTCAACTGTTAACCGGGTTCTTTGCGCTTCTTCGCTTGGGCGAAATGACGTACCCTGACGACCCAGAACTTAGGGACCCCAGAAAACTCACAAAGCGCAGCACGGTGCAAACCAACGACGATTTCTACAAGTTTTTCCTGCCTGGACATAAGGCCGACAGCTTTTACGAGGGAAATACTATCATCGTGCGCAAAAACCCACACAAATTTGACCCCCACAAACGATTTCTAACTTATCTGCGAGCCCGTGATGCCAAATTCCCCTTCAGCTCGCCACTATGGCTCACTAGCCAGGGGACCGTCCCTACCCGCTCCTTCTTCATACGACATCTACGTCGTTTCTTCAATTCTGACACCACCGGTCAGTCTCTCTGAGCCAGAGGAGCAACTTCCTTAGTGGAAAACGGTGTCCCTCCCTCAATAATTCAAGCTATCGGCAGATGGGCGTCCGACACCTTCAAGATTTACGTTCGGAAAAACCCCGTGCTCATTCAGGCACTCCTTTTCAGACAGACGAAGCGATCCCAGACTACCTTTCTCCACGCTTTGGAGAATTAACTCCACGCTTTGGAGAACCAACTTTTTCCTCTTTATCTTCCCGGGCGCGAAAGGCACCCGACTTCTGATTTCGGCTACTTAAAGTCCCCTTCCGCCTCTGTAACGCCACCAAACTTAAGTGTTATTGGAACAGTTCATTGCAAAAGGTGATGATAGAATGAGCACCTCAGCAAGAGGTGAAATTACATTTTCAGTAGAATATGGTTGAAATACAGCACCTATGGCAACCTACCACCAGCCTACATAGAGTACCCACTGACCTATGTATTCTATATATCGGGGGGGAACCTATGAAGCTATGGTCCCTACATAGGCTCCATAGACCTACATAGGTCTCAACCAATTTCCTGATGCAACAGTGGAAGACAGACAAGTCATTTTTCATTTGAACCGGGTTTTGTGGGACAGTTTTTTTCATCATGTTGACAATGTATGCAGCTCTCCTTCAAACCACACACCCAGGCATCCGATTGCACGTAAGTACAGCTTGTCTTCATGTTATTGGTCAGTTCTCCTCACTGAATTCTGTATCAATTGAGGCTGGAAGCACAGTGGGCACAGAATGAGGTTGAGTAGAGAGATCTTAAACGAGATCTGTGTCACCAAAGAAGAATTGTACAGATTTGTGTTGCTTGGCTTATGGTTTAGAAAAATGGCTGAATATATTTTTGAGCTCTGCCCATCAAACATTTAGAGAATAATCTAGGTTTCTAGACCTTATGGTAAGTTATCCACTAGCGACGGTGAGGCATCAGCATTCATGATAAAAAATATTGGAGATAGATATGTGAACTAACATTTTGACGGTCAAAGTATTTCGGAATGTGAGCGGCAATGGTGACAATATTGGAAAGACCGTTTCCAGTGGCATACAAACCTCCAACCCCAGCGACGGGAGAGGCTCTGAGAGTGTAGACCCTGTCCTCGATCGGGGTTAACTGTTCATCAGATTCAGAGGACATTTGGAGCAGAGGGGTGGAGAAGAGTTATTGGCAGGGTGGCGATGTTTGTAGCTGCTACGAGATAAAATAAAATAAAATAAAATAAAAAGAGGAAAAAAGCGAAAAAAAAGAGAATATCTCTTATCTTATCTTATCTTTCATACATGAGCTGCAAGCTACAGGCCCATCCTTCCATCTCCACCTGCATATGGACCATCAGTTTTGTTCTGGCAAGGCCTTGTATATCTCTTCTATCACAATCTACTCTGTTGCAGTCATCATATGGCTTTTTGCAGCATCTCTTTGCCCTACTGCCCTTGACATACAGCATATCCAGCATTTTCTTTCTGCTGTGACTTTCTTTGGAGGTAATTGGGGTGCTGATATTGCTAGGACATTTTGTGCAGGCCTTCTAATGGTTAACAAAGCAGTAATTTATGATGGGCTAGCAGCAATATTTTCAAGAACTTAGCTTAGAGGAATCAATATGTTGCCTGCTGGGGGTGTACATGTATGTGAGGCACTTTCACTTTGATTTTGGTCTATTTTTGATTGAGCAGGATTTTTTATCTTTGTGCCTATAACACATTCTGGTTTTGTCTATGAGATTGTGATGTGATAATTTATGATAGTTTTCATTGTGTGAAAGTAGGACATGAGAGCTATAAATTTCTGTAAGTCAGAGACTGCAAAAATATTATTTTCATTTCCCTTTGCATGATTACCATTCCATGCAATTTTTTCCAGTCAGGATCTTGATTAAATGCTGGCTGCTCACTCATGTGTAAGCTTTGTAAACTATCAGATTAATCAGAGCCCCCATCTACCAGATAATTATACAGCCATCAAGCAAGAAAAAATGCAAGAAACCACCAGCTATATTGAAAGGAGAGTAGTATGTCCAAAATTCAGCAATTCAGAATTTTGATTTCAACTGATTCATCAGTTTAAACAGTAAAATGGATAGAAATTTGGTAGTAACTAATATTTGTGTAATAATCTCAATGTGTTTTCGACTTTATGTGGTGTAAAAGTGTGGTGGAAGGCTGCAGAGAGGGCAGATGTATGGTTTTCAAAGGGAGCAGTTGCTATCACATAAGCAGAAACATAGCCACCTGCTATTACATAAGCACATGCATAGCCACCTGCTATAACATAAGCACATAGCCACCTGCTATTATATAATAGCAGCTACAAACATGGGCAGTCTGCCGAGTTATTATCTAGTTCAAATTGACCTCAAGCTTTTAGATCTTCAAGATGTTTCATAAGCTTTAGACGCGCTGCGTCAGGGCTGCCAAAATCTCAGATGACTCGTTCTGCAGATGGGAAAAGGGACTGGCCTTCAAGTCAATCCGGAGTGTAATGTTTCCGAGTGACAACTTTGGGACTCGGGCGCCGGGCGGCCTTCGCAATTGGGGCGAATTTCGAAATGTTCCCCAGGGGCACATTTGGCACTCTGACAGGCGACACACCATTACAAATTTCCATGAAAGTCTATCAAACGACACGTGCGTGCTGGAAACGTTAACATGCCTGTCCTTGCACGGAAGCTTTCATATAATCATGGAGAAAACTTTTGACGGAATGGGTGAGATGATGATAGCCACCGCTGTTGGAAAAGAGGTCGACACAACTAGTTTTCCGCAAATGTGAAATTTTAAGGGGCTGGCCTTGACAATCCGGAGTGTGATGTTTCCACAAATTTGGAACTTGGGCGGCCTTCGCAGTTGGGTGGCGAAATCATGCCATTTGGCACTCTGACCGGCGACACACCACGATATGTGCGTTCTGGAAACATGCCTGTCCTAATGTCAATGTTGATAGTACTACTAACCTGTTTGGGTTTTTGAAAGAACGCAATGCCAGCAACACAGGGTGGTACGTACCAGCAATAGACTGCACGAAAGCGTTCACATAGAGTCAGAGCAAAAAATCAACGGCGCCGTTAATGGGTGAAAATCGTAATGAGACTTGGAGAGGACTGTGTTTCCGAAGCAGTCACGAAGCTTGTTGCGGAAGTCAAGCACGCACCCCAAACTCTGTTCGACAGAAACGTTTGAAAAGGTCCACGTTATCTCATCGAAATCCAAGCACTTGAAGTTACTTCGGAACATTTCCAAAATTAAAAAAGGTAGACTCGAGAAAAACTCGGTGCACCGCCACCTGAACACACTAAGCAGCAACGGCCGTGAGCAATATGAATCTCCAAGTCATTCTTTCTCAATCAACAAAGAGCATGGCGATACATTTTGTCATCATGCATCACTATGCATCCCTGCTTCTCACTTAACATAGTTAGCATGAACACTTTTCCCCATCCGCGTCCTCGAAGGCCCAGGTCGGTTCCACCGAACATAAGCCCTCGTTGCACCCTTTTTTTTGCATCGCCCATCTTCTACCCCTTTCTTTCCTCAAAAAAGACGTGAGAATGAACGCGTAAGGAGGAGGAGACGAGGTGATTGGGCATGGTTGTAGTTATGTACGCTAATGACGTCACAACTTCATGATCGAGGGCAAGACCCCAGACCAGCGAACACCACCATCTGAGGAGATGTCAACTACTACCCAAAACCAGTCACCGATCACGAAAAACGAGACCCATAACGGTGCGGAGGACAGCGTGGGCGTAAAGCGGGAGCTTGATGGGAGGGAGGCAGAAGGTGCGAAACCAACTAAGAGGCCCAAAGTGGAAGAAAAAGAAACTGGAGAGCAGCAGAGCGTCTATAAGTCTGGTGCGTCTCTCATTTTGGACTTGGCGTTTACTTTCTCTTACAAAAATATGTAGGCACCATCGAGCGTGGGCACATCTACTTCTTCTACCGTCCGAAAGTCCAGCTAGAGGAGGCGCACTCTATCGACGACGTGAAGAATTTCCATATGCTGTTAATTCCCTGGCCTCCCGCGTTCTCCATTACTGAGGAAAACGCCAGTTCTTCCAACAACGTCAACAAAACGGACCCCTCGCTTTCGGAGGAAGCGGAAATGAAAGTACTAGCACCAGGAGCTGATGCCGTACCTGCTCCAGTCACCCAGAGCACTACAAAGCAACATTATCGATTCATCACTGTAGGGAAGAAGAAGCTCCCTGATCCCGAGGGCCATGGGAGTGGGAGCCGTCGGAAGGAGATATTCTGGGCGACTGTAACAGCCGTCGGCGATGACCTTGGCTCATTGGAGAAGGGTCTCGGGGAAAAGACTTATGACACGAAGACGCGAGGTTACATATAATGTTTTTGCAGCTCACGCGAGGACAGCACAGGGCTAAGATATTTTTTCTAGGGACAAGACACGAAGCCCCGTCCAGACTGGTCGCTCGAGGTGCATATGCCATCGTAAACACAGATGCCAAGATGATGTCAAAACGCGAAACACACCTGGGATATCACATTTCCCATCCTAAATCATCCGAGATGGTGGACGTACAGAGTTCATTGGGGATCTACAGCGCGTCATCGTTTGTGTTGCAAGTGAAGAACCCACATGCACCAACGACAGGTCCTCGGCAGGTTCGGACGAAGGGAGCTGATTACCCCGCATGGATCATGCGAGATGTTTTCGGCGCGGCTGCTGGGAAAGGCCAGAAAGAACGTCGGGGACGAGAGCCATATGGGCTTAGGTTTGCCAGCTGTGAGACACCCGAGTTGTTGGAGTATGAGGGCGCCCAGTTGTTGCTTATCGCAGCAAGAGAGGGCGAACAAGGATTGGAGGACAGCTTGGCCGAGGGCAGGGGAGTTGGTAAATTTCTTCATTTGGTTTACTTTTTCGTTTCGTTCACACCTTGCTAGCGCTTACAAAGCTGGAGGAGGAGGAAAGTCACGAAACAGTCAAGCAGATCTTGCAAGAGCTTTCGGTAGACCTGGAAGTGTTTCCCTCTGAGCCTTTGAAGGGAGAATGGATTTAATTAATAAATGACTCTCGCTGGAAACGGGCGGACTATGGGTGGTACGCATTTTATACTGTACAAGAGGGTCAGTTGAAATGCTGATTACCTCCTAGATTGGCGCCCTCCCACTCCACAGCGTTAGACTGAGATTCGGCCGACTTAAAATTGTAATGGTACAGCAACTGGAATCGACGTCTTTACAGGAGGCAGACAAAATTGCATAAAACCCTTCCAAACATTCAACTACTATATCGTGTTCATGACGGCATAAACTATCTGATATTTCCCTCAGTGAAATTGCCAGTAGGGTGGCTGTATGACTGGGTGCTCGAGAACTGGAATGGCCTTGATGACAAGCTAAGAGCGGAGAGTCATGCTTAGTGTTTGGAAGTCCGGTCTCGTGACTGGAAAAAGACCATAACCAGACCGGACCAAGACCGCAAAAGACCGGACCTGCGGTTACGGTCTTTTATTTTTGAAATGTAAAGACCGCAAAAAAACCGGTTAACGTGAACCGGTCTTGACCGGTTTGGACCGGTCTTTTGTAGCCCCTTAAATACCCTTTAAAACGCACCCAAGAACGTACGATTTGGTAAAAAAACGAGAGAGATATGAATTAAAATGTAAATTACTTTTGGGAATAATAGATGTACCAGACTTATTTTATAGAAGCACCAATTCCTAACGGAATTTAACGTTCTTGGGCTCGTTTTGAAGCTATTAGAGATGTTAATAAATTTACCGATTCATAATTTTAAAATATTGGCCTAAAGACCGGTCATAAACCGGTTAAAACCAATGCAGACCGAAACCAGTCTATAGACCGCAAAAAACCGCGGTCTGCGGTCTTTTTGCGGTCCGGTCTGGTCTTTTGACTTCTGGGGAAAAGGCAGACCGGTTACGGTTACGGTTAACGCCCCTGGGCATCAAAAAACCGGACCGAACCGGACTTTCAAACACTAGTCATGCTCAGAAAGAACTTGAGAGCATTGAATATAAATCACTAACTTCATGCTTTTCGTCAGTTCCGACATAATAGGTTGCACCGACTGCCTTCGTAATCACTCGAATGCTAGTAAGAAATTATGGTGAGTGAGGAATCTCAGCCTAAACGAGCACAAATCACATACTAATAGGAGTTGGGGATCGCTTCGTTGCCCGTCAGGGTAATGTACCATTCAAACTTCTCCGCAGTGGTAATAATTGGGCCATGTGGAACAGCTTCATTAACATTATCGAGAGCCCAACTACCACCCAGGGTGATATCATCTTTGTGGAAAAAGACAATTGTGTACGTGTGTTCCTTGCCTTTGACGGCAGTGATAGTCCACTAATGGCAGTGAGGCAACAACGTTAGTGTGATCATACAGAAAGACGACAAAAAAGAACGCAGAAACTGACGGTTTGACGGTCAAAGTTTGGTGGCACTTGTGCGGCTGCGGTAACGATCTTGAATGTACCGTTGAAGGTCGCGTACAGGCCACCGACGCCGACGACGGGAGAGGCCCTGAGTTTATAGTTTCCGTCCTTGACCATGATGATGCTTATTCAAGTTTAGAGAGAGATTTCACGAAGAGGTGGGGATGGGCAGTCATGGATGACTTTGGCCTTTATACCCTCAAAGCTATTTTCGTGCGGTCCAGAACACTATGGTCAGAAGATGAAACTCAATTTCCGGGCGCTGCTAAAACATCAGATGACTGACTTTATTTTGGACTCGGTGGGAAATCGTTCCTGGCCTTGACCATTCAGAATGTGAGGTTCAAAGGCAACGGCAGCTCTGAGAATCGAAGTAAATACCAGCACCCGAAAAAAAAAATTCTCACAGCCAAACAGCTTTCTTCCCCTCGTGTTTGACAGGGAGGTCTCGTCTTGGCCTCAATTTTTTGTCGCTTGGAGCTATTGGATATGTGTTGTTACTATCATGTCACGTCCACTGAAGGTCTCGCAGACGATTGATTCTACATCGTCTTTGGCACTCAAATAACGCTCGTGTCTTCGCCCAAGTAGTTATTTATCTCTTTTTAACGGAGCCTCGAAGTTTCCAGCATCAAGTCGTCTTCCGTCGAGTGTTCTTCTGGAAAGGCGTGGAGGTTTGGTGGAGAGTTGTCAAATTCCGCGATTATCAGGTTATCCGTCGACATTCCAAGCCAGCTAGGACGTAAGGTTTGGTCCATGTGGCGAATCGTATCTATTTGCACGAACGTTCTGCTGAATTGTGGAGTAACGCGAGCGCTGCGCCCCAAATTTAGTACTCGGAGATATACTTCTGCGATATTTCAACGACCGCTTTAGGACATAGGCGGGGGCATGTGACATGTGACGTGTGACACAAGCTCCATTTTTTATTCCTCCACCAACCTCCGCTTCGCGCATCTCCTAGCACCTCATTTATGTCACTTCCCTGAGTTGAGATTCGACCCTCGTAACTACCAGATGTCATAAAGAGCTCGATGGATGGCTATAAAGGTCAATCTCCCTTCCATGGATCATAGTGCGTTTTCCAGACTGCTTACTACAATAATGTGCAGCAGCGACAGCCAGGTCAAATGGCAGCTGTCTCTGGCCATCATTCCACGGAGAGAGATCGTTAGAACAGAACAACTCCCTTTGGCGCCAAACTCTCACCGTCTCTCACGGTCCCGGCGAAAGTGTTCACCGTCTGAACGGATGCGGCTTTGTAGTTCTGGACCTATTGTTGCCGCCAACTTGGAAAGGACGCTCTGCCAGATCTTGTGATCATACTTTCCCCAGATATGACGATCCGCAATATCTGGCCTACTGTTTCCGGAGGGACTGATCGAGAAATAATCTACATCTCCGCAGAACGTGCTTTGACGCAAGAGTGAACGTTCCAACAGCCCTGGTTTTCATCGCATTCTCGCTTCGTGAACTTGGAGTTAGGATTGGGCTCTGATATCTCAAACGAAGCCTCACCCAATCCCTTTTCACAAGGTCTCTTGGCCTTAGACGATCTCATAGCGCTTGCGACGATCTCATAACGCAAGCGTTAACCTATCTGCCGATTCATGTTTTCTCTTTGACGTTCCCCTGAATTGTGGAGTAGCACGAGCCCTGCGCCATCTTGCGCCATCTCTGTTCTAATTTTACCACTCGGAGACATCACAATCCGGCTAGGCATTCGAGAGTGCAATATAAAAACCAGAGTTGTTCTGATGTTTACTAGTATCGCCTCTCTCCTTCCCCCGGCTTCGAACGTCTTGTCGAGCATTCACAGCCATGTCTATTGCATCTGATGCCTTACATACTCTCAGAGCCTCTCCTGTCGTCGGAGTTGGTGGTGTGTATGCTACCTGGAACGGCATCAACGAGATTGTCACCGTCGCCGCTGAGGTGCCAGGGACTGTTGAGCATCAACTTGTCGGTACCGCATATCTGAACGATTCAAATCGCTAATACACTCTCACCATCTTTTAGTGGAAGATTCAAGAGGTCAAGGGCAAGGAAGGCATATACACCATCGTTCGCCTCACAAAGGAGGGCGCTTTTGACGGAAGTTGGTCCCTGAAGGACAACGCTGCTGTACCGCACGGCCCCATCATCATTTCAAAAGAGACCGTCGAGTGGCACATTGACCACATCAAGAATGGCGTGCCCCATGCAATCACGCATGTATCATCTTCGAATGCCCGTGGAACGTATCTCACCGCCATTCTCTAGCATTCGACCAGTAACAAAGGCTGTCGGCGTCGCGTGGTATGTTGGAACTGATGATACAAACCAAGTTAGCGATTACACACTCTCAATTTCAGCCTTAACTGATTCTTCTGATGCCTCCAGGCTGTCATCAAAGCCTTACCCATTGAAAGGGCGGTAGAGCCACCCTACTGGCAATTCAATGCGCATCATCATCATCATCATCACCCTGGCCATTAGGCAGGTGGACGTCGTGGACCTTACCTTACCTTCAAGGATTTTACGAGTTACATTACCTGTTCTACATATGAAATTCCCATTCAAGTTGTCATCTTGTCCGATATGGTGCCAATTAACTAAACAAATGAAATGCTCACGATTTTGCATACATGAAAAAGATGTCGAGTTGTGGCTGTTCTACATACCACCCAAGTGACAATTCAGAGACATTCAGACAGGCAAGTGGCAGTGCGCGGTGTATTTGTATCAACAAATGAGTATAAATACAGCGCGACCACTTTCTCACCTCAGCCCAACATCCAGTGGATTTCTGACGAGGTTTTTGGAGCTTTTGCATTACTCCGATTTGTGCTGGCTGGTACCGGTGTCTCCTTCGGATTGCGCTTCTCATGTTGTCACGTAAGGCCAGCTTCTACAAACGTGATCTTCAGAGTGTAACATCTGACGCGTACGAGCTGTCATGGTTCCCCTGAATCGTGGTGCCGGTATGTACTTCGATTCTCAAAGCTGCCGTTGTCCCGTTTGATAGTGAACCTCACATTCTGAATGGTCAAAGCCAGGAACAATTTCCCACCGAGTCCAAAACATAGTCAGTCATTTGACGTTTTAGCAGCGCCCGGAATTTAAGTTTCACCTTCTGACCATTTATATTCTAGAGCGCACGAAGATAGGTTTAGGATATAAAGGCCAAAGTCACTGTTCATGACCGCCCATCCCCACCTCATCTTCGAATCTCTCTCTGAATTTGAATCAGCATCAACCATGGTTAAGACCGGAAACTATAAACTCAGGGCCTCTCCCGCCGCCGGCGTCGGCGGCATGTACGCGACCTCGAACGGTACGTTCAAGATCGTTACCACCGCCGCACAAGTGCCATCAACCTTTGAACGTCAAACCGTCAGTTTTTGCGTGTTTGTCGACTTTATGATCACACTAACGTTGCTGCCTCGCTGCCATCAGTGGAGGATTACTGTCGTCGAGGGCAAGAAAGACACGTACACAATCGTCTTGGTCCACAAAGACGAAATCGCCCTGGGTGGTAGTTGGGCTCTCGATAATGTTAATGAAGGCTATGAAGATGTTCCACGTGGTCCAATTATAACCGCTGCGGAGGTGTTTGAATGGCATATTACCCCGACGAACAACACCTCGATCCACAACACCTATTTGTATGTGACATATGGTTGTTTAGGTTGAGAATCCTCACTCACCGTAATTTCTTATAGCATTCAACCGATTACGAAGGCAGTCGGTGCATCATACTATGTCGGAACTGACGCAGAGAGACAAGTTAGTGATTTATATTTGCTCTCGAGTTCTTTCTGAGCTTGACTCTCCGCTCTTGGCAGCTTATCATCAGAGCCATTCCCATTCTCGAGCACCCAGTCGTAGAGCCACCCTACTGGCAATTTCACTGAGGGAAGTATCATATAGTTTATCATACAGTTTATGCCGTCATGAACACGACATAGTAGCAATGTTTGGAAGGTTTTTATGCAATTTTGTCTGCTTCCTGTAAATGTAAATGCTGTACCATTACAATTTGAAGTCGGCCGAATCTCGGTCTAACGAGGGTGGAGTGGGAGGGCGCGAATTAAGAAGGTAATGTAAGACGCCAATTTGAAAATCCGAGATACACGAAGGAAGCTGCCTCGAAGTTGGAGCAGGAAAATTGAGCGTGGCGCGGGCACAGGCTCAGAGCAAGAAAAAAAGGACGGGCGTCCCAACTGAAAAAGCGCAACCAATCCCACCGAGCGCAGGCATCATAAGCACTCGGAGAAGCGGAAGAATTTTAGACCATAAGAAGCGCCAGCTGTTAAAGAAACGCGGGGACGAACAGCATCGATAGACATAGAAATGATCCCACATGTGATAGCGCTAACACGACTGTAAACTATACTTACGTTACAGAAATACCTAACCGGTTCGCAAGCGTTAATTGAATCTATCCAAAATCAACGTATGAATTGAATAAGAACGAAGAAAGACGTACCACTGAGAAGCATCATGAATAAATTTCCCTACATCTTCTGCCCTCCTCCTCGCCTCAAGCAAACCAAATTGTTTTATCGGCCGAGAACCTCCGACATCCCACCACCCTTCAGGAAGCCGCTCCTCACCAAACCATTGCTCAAGAACGCACAACGGAATAACGTCCTCTTGCTCGCTTGCCTTGCGATTGAGACAATGAGGACGAAGAACCAACCAAGCTAGGCCACACTCCCCCAACGCGATCTGCTCGTGAAAGGAGCTGAGAGGACTCGGAGAAGACGCCTCTCGAGACGCGTGCAAGTGTGCGATGTCCACTAGTGTAAGCCCGAGTTGACGCTTGGGATGAACGTGGTCGACTGCATAGCCAAGGAAACTAGAGACAAGCCCGGGGTCGGGGGAGGTTGACGGGAGAGTATTTGGGTGAACTAGGGAAGCATCGTGCGTGATCTTTGTTGCACCGCGCTGAGAGAGGGACGCCAGGTCCAGGGTCCATCGGAGACGCGGGGGAAAGCTACGCAGACGCCGGAGCTTGGCAAAATCCTGGAACAGAAGTTTACTTGCGGATGTTGAGGGTCCAGAGTGATGAATGGGAAGATCTTGACTATCGTCCGCTGGAGAATAAAACGAGAGCCGACCACAAGTCAAGAAACCCACAAAGGCAAGCAGGAAGGCAAGCGGAACAGAGATATTGTACACTTTCACTAGAGCAATGATCAACTTGAAGAATGTGACTTGCGTTCCTTCTCGCGAGCTAGATTACCGCGCATATATGAGCTCAAAAGAAGAACGGACGATCGATACGAGGAGTAGGACTGACATATACCCATGATTCGCCATTGCGTTCAGAGCGGGACATGGGGAACGACTTTGAGAGGGCTTCGGGGGGATGAAGTGGTGATTGTCCGGGAATCCTTTCGTTTGAGTGCTGGCAGCCATGTTAGTCTTCGATGCGAGCGGGCGGGACAGTTTGGCAGTGGGGGTGAGCGGAAAGGAATCCGGCAGGGTGCAAAACGATGGTGAATTGCTTTTATACTGCAGCTTCGATTTACATAGGCCAAGCAAGCGTCAACAGAATGACAGACGTCATTCACATGCATTTGGGGCGAGAACTGGCTTTCGCTCGCGCCTATATGTCAAAGACAGTCGCCTCAATCTGCCTGGATATATCGATATCCAAGTAACCCCACAGAGTTTGAATATCTATGCTCAGATCTGTGGGACTTCGAACCGCAATGAGAGTCTTCAGAAACGGTCCGAACTGTTGCGAACACTCACCTGAGGTTAGTTGAAGTTACAGTTTATTTTCTGCTGAGTCTTGGACGCCTAATATTAGCATCCAAAAAGATATATCGTACGTATCTAGGTTACTAAAAAACTAAAAACCCATATTGATGGCTTGTGCAATGTAAAGGAACCGTTGCGCACGGGGTTGGTCACGGGTGGCTTGAAGCGACACGAATTGCAGACGTTTCATGCGCGTCAGACGCGAACAATCGGAAGATATTAAAACAACATGGCCTTCAATCAGATCATGAAATGGAGCTGTGGCCACTTGAAAACGGTTATTTGCAACCTGAAGTTGATAACTATCTGCGAGGTTTATCCGTGCTAAAGAAGCATGGATGGATCAGAGCAAGGTCAGAAGGTCGATGGTCCATGCAGGCGAGATGCAGGCGCTGAATAGCTACTGTACAGTGTAACTCGGCAGATCGCAAGGGGATGACAACGAGGCAGGCTAAGTATAACGAGCGTCCGCAGCTCATGGCGTATAGTAAGCTTGACGTCAAGCCGAGATCGATTCGTACCAAGCCGCCTTGGCTTCACCAATTGTGAATATTCGGTATCGCCAGCTAGCGTACGGCGCATCCTTGGGCGATGTGAGCGCTTCGGCCAAGATTTAGCCAGTGGACGGTAGAAGTCGAAAAGATGTTTCGGAAAGAAGCCCAACAAAGCTTATGTAAGTCTATTATTTCTCCCCATCAAGATCCCAAGAATTTGAAGAAGCACCTTAGTAAATTTAATCCGAACTACATATCTAGCCATGCGCAAAGACCCTCTCCCTAACCACCGCCATTTACCCCATGGTTTCCCGCCGTTGGCAATGGCTGACGTTTCTCCTGCTCGTTGCCACGTCCGTCGTGGCCCAGTCGAGCTCATCAGGGGCGTTGAACACGTCTAGCATACCTTCTACCACTGCCTTGTCCTCTACTAGCAGTATCCTCACGGAATCCTTGCCTGCGTCGACCACTTCAAGTTCCCTTCCCCAAGAAACGTTGACGTCGGCCGGCGGTCCCACTACAACACAGGCTGTATCTCCGATACCCGTGCCGCAAACGGCATTTTCTTCGTTCCCGCTTCCGGCTGAAACGCCTACACCTGGAGTCTTCGAAGCGGATGATCCCAGCAGCCCACCAGAAGTACGTGTTATCTCTTTGAATTGTAATGACAATCATCCGACCCAACTTTCAAGGTCGATTCACCAGTGATACCCGACTTTGGGCCAGCATGGGCTACCGCGTACGAGAAAGCAAAGGCAAAGGTACTTCTTTCGTGCTCCGCGTTTCCGTTAATGCCCGGCGTTTTTTCTTTTTCCAATGCTTTGGACACTCCGATTTACAAATGCTAATGGTCGCCCACAGCTCGCTGGTTTCACGCTAGAAGAAAAAGTCAATGTCACTACGGGGGTAGGTTGGGCAAACGGTCGTTGTGTCGTAAGTCAACCATGCATCATGTCGTACTCCTCGCTTCAACGTTTTTACCTCAGGGTAATATACCCCCCGTAGAACCTACTCAGGGGCGTGGGTGGCCAGGCTTATGCTTGGAGGTAAGTCTTCTGCCCATTTCTCCGTTTCCCATCTGACATTATTCAAACTGTAGGACTCTCCCCTGGGAGTTCGCTTTGGAGATTTCGTAACGGCCTTCCCAACGGGAGTCAATGCCGCCGCTTCGTTAGTCCCGTTCATCTAATCTTACGCCACCTAACCTAACTTGAATCTCCCAGCTTTAACCGCCGCCTTATTCGCCTGCGTGGGCTCTTCATGGGTCTAGAGCACAAAGGCAAAGGCGTAAACATCGCCCTCGGGCCCATGATGAACATGGGCCGCGTCGCCCAGGGAGGCAGGAACTGGGAAGGCTTTGGCGCAGATCCTTATCTGACTGGTGAAGCTGCGTACGAAACGATATTGGGCATGCAGATGGGGGGCGTGCAGGCATGCGCGAAGCACCTCATTAACAAGCACGTTCTTCTGCGTTCTGGGCTTCTATTACCGTTCATAACCTATTGTGGACCATTACAGCGAGCAAGAACACTTTCGCACGCAGGAAAGTTCGGACGTTGATGACCGAACTCAGCATGAGATTTATGCGCATCCATTCTTACGGAGCGTAATGGCAGGCGTAACTAGCTTGATGTGCAGCTACAGTAAGCTTTTCGCTGCTCTTGTTAATTGGCCTAACGTGGTGGATGCTTAGACCTTATCAACGGCACTTATGCTTGTGAAAACGATAAGATGCTGAATGATATCGTAAAACGAGAATTTGGATTCCAAGGATGTACGTTGTCAACTTTGATTCTCTATGCACTGACTGAAGAATCATTTCATCTTAGTTATCATGTCAGATTGGGCAGCGTAAGATTTTGTTACGCACTTACGTCCTTCAGTTTTACTGAATCTTCAATCTTAGAACGCACTCAACGATATCAGTAATGACAGGCCTTGACGTACGTGCGCACCACGTTTTTGAAATGACGTTTCGTTAACTATGCCTCGCTTTGATTGATAGATGACGATGCCGGGCGACATAACCTTTGATTCCGGCACCTCCTACTTTGGCGATAACCTGATTGCATACATCCAGAACGGAACTATCCCCGAATCTCGTCTCGATGACATGGGTAAGTAAAGCCTCAGGATCATTATCATAAAACGGAACACGTCACTAACGAACATACTTTTCAAGCAACACGTATCCTCGCAGCGTGGTACTTCCTCCACCAAGACGCGCCGTCCTATCCCCCAACCAATTTCGACGCGTTCCGACCAGACAACGAAACCACCAACGAGCATATCGACGTCCAAGACGACCATCATTGGCTCGTCAGAGAGCTTGGTGCTGCGAGCACGGTTCTGTTGAAGAACGTCGGCGGTGCTTTGCCTCTTGGAAAGAAAGATAGGAGCATCGTGCTTGTCGGGAGCGATGCTGGGCCTGGAAGTATCGGTCCGAATGAGTTCGCGGATCGGGTTGGTTCTTCTATTTTCCCTATGTTTGAAATGATTTGATTTTTGACGTCATTTTGCCAGGGAGGCTCGGATGGCATCCTGGCTATGGGTTGGGGTTCGGGCACAGCGAATTTTACATACCTGGTTTCACCCTTGGAAGCCATCCAGCGCAAGGCCCGCGAATTCCGCACGAGCGTTTCGTGGATCCTTGATGATTTCAACCTTGCGTTGGCGGGTAACATGGCTAGGAAGAGATCTGCTGCTCTTGTCTTCATTAGCTCTGATAGTGGAGAGGGGTATATCACCGTTGACGGAAACGAGGGTGATAGGAAGAACCTCACTGCCTGGCATGGTGGAGACGACCTCGTCCTGGCTGTTGCTGCTCAGAATAACAACACTATTGTTGTGGTCAACAGTGTTGGTCCCTTAATCATTGAGCCGTGGATTGATCATCCCAACGTGACCGCCGTGAGTACCTTGTCGTACGTATGCAGAAGTTTCTCAGCTTACTTTCTCGCATAGGTGGTGTGGGCCGGCTTACAAGGGAATGAAGCCGGCAACTCCCTGGTGGACGTGCTTTACGGTGACTGGAACCCGTCAGGAAGATTACCGTACACCATTGCGAAAAATATCGCCGATTATCCGGCACAGCTGATAACGGGCGGTGAGGGTCAAGATATCTTGGATATTCCTTACAGCGAAGCGTGAGTTCCCTGCGCTGATAAATTCAACTTTCATCTGAGATTAGTTCTAGGCTTGAGATTGATTACCGCCATTTCGACGCTGTGAGTTAATTCTGCCCAATAGGATACTTATGTTGAACCACGATTCTAGAAAAACATCACGCCTAGATTTGAGTTTGGCTTTGGCTTGAGCTATACTACATTCAAGTATTCGGGACTGTCAATCAGTAAAATAGAGTCTCCGGTAAATGATGCCCTTATTGACAACTGGGAGAACGGAGGCGCTACTCCGATAGAAGAGGGATCCTCGCGCGCGGCTTGGTTAGTGTCTTGCCTCTGACCGTCTTCGGCAAACATTTACGAGATTATTTGAAGGTTGCACGAGCCTGCATTTTCCGTTTCCTTCACCGTGCATAATGCTGGCTCATCATTCGGAGGCGATGTGCGTTATTTCATCTCTCCATTGCCTATATCCACTGACGGAATTACCATAGATCCCGCAGCTATACGTTAATTTCCCCGCCTCCGCCGGTGAACCCCCGTCTGTTCTCAGAGGGTTTACCGACGTTGAAGTAGCACCATATGAGCGGGAGAAGGTTACAATCATCTTGTCGCGCTATGATTTGTCCATTTGGGATACTGAAGCGCAAGGGTGGAGAAAGCCCAAGGGGACCATTCATCTCTCTGTTGGGGCTAGCAGTAGGGATATCAGGTTGAGAGGGAAGATTCCTGCGGAGTGACGGTAGGACACTAGAATGGACTAAAGTTGAACTTTTTTTTTTTTCGTACGAAGAACAATTTATACTCATGTTGGTGGGCATCTACTCAATAGTCACCCCCCCTTTCGCTCTTCTTACTGAGTCAACAATGCATTTTTTGTTACATCACATACTATGGATGGATAGATGAACCCCCACAGATTGGACGGCCCCACTTGTAGACAGTTGACACAGGTAAATTCTGACATAGGGCTTCACCCCAGTGAAGTAGAATGGATTGAAAAAAAAAAGCTTAAGTTGCTCAGTAAATTGAATCCAATCACCAGAGAGCAATAAATGTACAATCAAACAATTCAACACAGCAGTTGCACATTCTGCTTGAATGATCATTTACTCAGTGGAGAGTATATTTATAAGATTCATAGCAGAGTAAAAGAAAATTTTGGGAAAGTACTACTGGCAGAATAGATTTACTCCACCATTGTTAACAATTGTGAGTTGTATCATTCAAGTATAGTAGCAAGATTCAGAAGAACAACAATCAGGTTACAACTTTCTTAGCATTATAAGGATAATCAAATTAGATGATGTTGGAATATGCAAGGTACACTCACTGATCAAAAGTAATGTCACATGATTTTTTGGACAAAGTTGGTGTTATAACACAAGAACCAAACATTTTAAGGATTAAACTCTGGTGCATGAAACATAGCTAAGGAGGTGTAGATTGTATATACCAAGTCTGGGGATGAACAGATAAAAACTCAGGATACAGCAGGGCATTGACTGTGATAACTCCCAAAAATGGGATGTGACAAAATGGGAAATTCTGAATGGCTGCAACCTACTGGAAGCAATTCACAACTTGAGGAAGAGATATTTTGAACACTGGATCTCCCTGCTATTGTTATGAGCTTCATAAAGTCTTTGGACTAGAAAATTTTATATCCTCCCCTAAAAGGTAAATTTGAACTTGTTCTCAATTTATATACTTTTCACTCAATATACTTGTTGGAATGAGATAAAATGACTCCTCATTAATGTTGGTAGTGTGTATAATATAAAAGGTAGGTAGAAATGTTAAAATGAACATTGCATAATGTCTTTAGAAGCTAATTTCCAGAGTTTTTCTGGAAGTAAACAAGTATCTACAGCATTGGTCCTTCTTTTCTGCAAGAAGAAAAAATGCTACCATCCTTTTGAGTTAATTGATGGAGACTTGGGATGTCTTTTAAACAATGCCTGAAGTATAGCATGATAGCAAATAGATTGTCACTGGGTATAACTTGAAAAGTCCCCAATAAAAGTACATTTTGCATAGAGCAAGAAAGGTGTGAGGGTTTCAGATCCTTGTCTAATAGGACCTCTGTTTATTTCTTTAGGATGGTGTTAGTAGGCATGAGAAGTGCCTTCTGAAATATTTACAGCCCCAACTCACCAAGAAAAATGTCAAGGATTGGTCTAGGATGATTGCTCCATGCAAAATGTACTTTTATTGGGGACTTTTCAAGTTATACCCAGTGACAATCTATTTGCTATCATGCTATACTTCAGGCATTGTTTAAAAGACATCCCAAGTCTCCATCAATTAACTCAAAAGGATGGTAGCATTTTTTCTTCTTGCAGAAAAGAAGGACCAATGCTGTAGATACTTGTTTACTTCCAGAAAAACTCTGGAAATTAGCTTCTAAAGACATTATGCAATGTTCATTTTAACATTTCTACCTACCTTTTATATTATACACACTACCAACATTAATGAGGAGTCATTCTATCTCATTCCAACAAGTATATTGAGTGAAAAGTCTATAAATTGAGAACAAGTTCAAATTTACCTTTTAGGGGAGGATATAAAATTTTCTAGTCCAAAGACTTTATGAAGCTCATAACAATAGCAGGGAGATCCAGTG